AGTCAACAAGATTCAAGAGTTGTCCGACATACAACAGAGTCGTCACCGTATCATTATTATGTGACGACTTTTGAATATCCCTCCTGTAGAGGGACATGCCGGACTTAACTCCAGAGGCGCGGGCCGGGGGCAGAGCTTCGCCCCTCCCCGGGGGCCATGGTCGCGAGGCCGCTGCTCTGCTCCCCGCCGCCGTTCCTGCTGACCCTGCCCCACAGCGTGTGGCGCGCCGTCTGGGTCGGCCCGCTCTTCAGCGACTTCCAGAGCCATGTGCCGAGCTTGGACATCCGAGATGCCGTGGTGTCCTTCGGGCATGCACGAAGCGGGCTGAACACAAGCCTGGCTCGGCCAGCTCAGAAACCAGGTGCGCTGGGCCTTCCAGGGGGGCTCCCCCGACCCTGGCTCGGTCAATCTGCACGGCCACCTCCAGAGCTGCGAGCCGCTCCCCGAACTCAGCTCAGCCCCAGTCCGGCTCTGCAGAATTGCCCGTCGGCTGAGTCCCTCTCTGCTCTTCCCCTCCAGGAGGAGGAGGAGGAGGAGGAGGAGGAGGAGGAGGAGGAGGAGGAGGAGGAGCTGAGAAGCCCCGCCGCCTGCCGAGAAGGCCCGCCCCTCTCAGACGTGTGGCGTTTGGGTCACAGCTCGGCTCTCCGGCGACCGTTCGGTACGATTCGGGCACCCTGGGCGAGGCGCAACCGCTGGAACGCATCCCAAGGCCGAAAATCCGCCGAGAAGCGACGAGGACGCCCGAAAATGTCGAACCCCGAGCCCCGAGCTCTCGAGCTCCCAAACGTCTCCCCCCCAGACGGATGGGAGGCCCTCGGGCGTCGATGCCGCGGCAGCTGCAGCGACGGCGGATCCGAGAGCGGCGCTGGGCAGGCGAGGACGCAGAGGGCCCTCTTTTCGGCGGCGGGCAAAGGGGGGGAAGTGGGAAGGGGCGGGCTTTCTCAGAAGTTTCGGAAGCCCCGTGGCCTCCTGACAAGGCGCGAGGGCTTCCGAGAAGTCCCGCCGCCTTCTGAGAAGGCCTTCTGTTCCGCCGCAGTTTTCTATCTATGGCGCCGCTCGTCGCTCGCCGCCTATCTTTGGCGCCACCTATATTTGGCTCCGTGGGGCCCTCCTTGGCTCGTCTTGGAGCTCTCCTGGGCCGTCTTGAGGCGCTCGTGGACCGTTTGGGAGCCTCTGGGGACGTTCTGGGGCGACCTCGGAACCCCCCAGGCGTGGGTTCTAATCCATGGAGGGTGGTGCGAGGGCCCGCGCCTATCGACAAAATCAATAAAAAGAAAACCATCACTTCTCGTTCTAGTTTCTGTCTTTGGCGCCCACAGGGTTTTAATTGGGTGTGGTGTGGGCACTATATCCCAAATGCTAGGGAAGCACTATATCCCAAATGCTAGGGAAGCTTGTGATACGTGTGTCTTCCGGAGACAGGTCTTGCGTGTGAACAGCTATGTGATGCTAGGGAAGCTTGCGTGTGAACAGCTCAAGTCGTTTGGGTCATAAAAACCGAGTTTCACGACGCTGTGTGTGCTTCAAAAATAAAAACGGAGGGCAGTGATGTTCGCACTTCGCCTTCCCAAGAACCCTATCCGCGCCTACGGCTTCGCGGGACCTCAATGAGGCCTAAGGCACGTGTTTCTAAGAAGGCCCTGCAATCGAAGGTATGAGTACCACGTGTGTTCGGAATGCTGTCTGGCTTCAAGACGACTTCAAGTAACCTGAGCTATGTCCTGAGTTATTTGAGGTCATAAGCCATATGCACCGTATGAGCAGTATAAGCTCGATAAGCGTTATCAACATCATGATGAGCCCTCCTGTGAGCCCTATAAGACCAGTGAGCCCAACGATCCCTATTAGCCATATGACCCGTATCATCCATTTGAGCCTGATGAGCCCCTATGAGCCCGTATGAGCCCCATGAGCCCTATGAGCCTAACGAGCCTATGAGCCCTACGAGCCCGATGAGCCCAAAGATCTACGACGCCTCGCAAATGAGGTCCAATTAGTTTGGGTCAGAAGATCCCCCAGCATCGACGATGCATCGGCAACGTCGGCGATGCATCGGCGACGTCGGCGGGCAGGACATCGCGTTAAACACCGCGCCGTATCACCGATGCATCGGCGACAGGGCGGAATCCTCCGACCCCATCTACAGGCGGCGCGCCTGGGGGGGAAGTCAGGGGGCGGGCCTTCTCAGAAGGCTCAGAAGGCTCCCTTCCCCGAAGACACAGGATCCTTCTCACCTCGAGGACGGGAATGATGTCATGATAGTATTGGCTCAGGATGGGTTTCAGGATTTCGAGAAGATGTAGCGGCCCTCGTCTCTGCAGCCCGTGTGGAACATCAAGGAATCTTGTAGTCCTGGAAGTCTTGGAACGTCTTATTCTTATGACCGCTTGTTCCTCCGAGCTACCCCCCCTGCGTGCCGCCGAGAAAGGGCGAGATCATCTGGCCCCACCTGCAGTCGGACCTAGGCCATCAGAATACCCCTCACGAACATGAGACCCTCCGTCGGCCCAAACGAACAGAAGAGCCAAGGGTAACTACCCTCCTCAGGGTGCACAAGAGCATCCAACAGACACGAATAACATGTGCCCCGAACCAACCTCGATGTTATACCTCGGCCCGACTGTACTCGGACCCCACTTCGAAGGCTGAGGCCATCCCGGCCCGTCTTCCGAACCGCGCCCCGCCGCGAAGGCGCCAGGGCCCCCCCGAGGACCGAGCGGGGGCAGGGCGTGCCCTGGGCGGCCAGACGACACCTCGGGCCACCCGGCTTCGCGCACCTCGTCCCCGCGATGCGCGGCGCGCGTCATGCTACTCCCATCGTGCTCAAGGACCACATCACAGGACAAATCTCCAGCACCCCGAGAAGTGTTGAGACAGTGTCTGCCCGACGCGCCGGCGAAGTGCCGGGCGGAGATCGCCTCCCGGGGCCCGACAGGTGAAAACCGCCCAGTTCCGATTCTTTCTTGGTGCTCGGAACTCTTTCTGGCGAGCAAGGCTCAAGTATGTTGGAGTATCACAAGGCGCGCGGCCGCCTTCGCTTTCCTACTGTTGGGGCCAAGCCGATGGGTGACAGGCCATCACAGGCCTGCTCATGAGGAGGCCGCTGCAGCCTTTGCTCCCGCCTCCCGAGCCTGCCCCCTGTGCAGCATGGCAGGGTCCTGCTCCCCTGGGGGAAAGAACGGTGCAATTTGTCGGGTCCCAAGAAGTGTCCAGAAGGTGCCCTTAAAGCGCTCCCTCTGGGCCCTAACGAGGTGCCCTCCAGGGGCCCGAGGGGCCCCTTTCTATCACCCTTTACTGCCCATCTATCGCCGTCTATCGCAGCCCCCGCTGTCCCCCATGTATCGCCCCCCCATTACGCGCCCCCTGTGGAAGCTCGAGCCTCCGGGGCCTGCGGCCTCGAGCTTCGGGCTGGACCACTTGCCCGAAGCTCGCGAAAGCTCTGTTCTGGGGGAGCAGCCCGAGCGCCGATGAGCCTCCTTCAGCCCGGGGAGGGGGCTAGGGGGACGAACAATGACACAGACATACAAAAACTCGGAGGTTCGCGCAGATTTCTTGGATGCGCGCTGGACCCCCCTACATGGCGCGCGGAGCGCCCCAGGGGCGGAGCTGGAGGCGCCACCCTGCAGGGGGCCCCAGCGCCGATCCAGGAAATCCGCGCGGACCTCAGAGTTTTTATGTTTATCTCATTGTTCGTTCCCCTAGAGTTAGGTCGGGCGTGTCCCCGTACAGGCGGATTTTGCATGAAGAATGAAAGATACTCTAAACATACTCCCACATGGTCAAAAATAGTCAAAACATCGTCCCCATACGATTGTTTCCTACCTAGGCTCTGCCTACAAGGGTTCTTACTCGGTTAGCTTAAGGGGCCGGGCAGTGTAACCCGCCCCGGGCGGTTCCCCCGGTCCCCTGGGAGCGGTTCCCCCAGCTGCGCCCCCTAGCTTTAGCTTTAGCTTTAGCCTGAGCTTTAGCTTAGCATTATCTTAGTTGTAGCTTAGTTGTAGCTTAGCTTTAGCTTAGCTTTAGCTTAGAGTTAGCTTAGATTTAGCTTAGCTTTAGCTTAGCTTTAGCTTAGCGTCAACTTAGCTTTAGCTTAGCTTTAGCTTAGCTTTAGCTTAGCTTTAGCTTAGCTTTAGCTTAGCTTTAGCTTAGCTTTAGCTTGGCTTTAGCTTAGCTTTACCTTAGATTTAGCTTAGCTTCAGCTTAGCTTCAACTTAGCTTTAGCTTAGCTTTAGCTTAGCTTTAGCTTATCTTTAGCTTAGATTTAGCTTAGCGTTAGCTTAGTTTTAGCATAGCTTTACCGTTACTACTAATGCTGCTTTCCTAGGGGCTCCAACTCCTAGGTAGGGCCGCACTGGGATAATTTCCAATTTCTGAATATTCCTCCTGCAGAGGGACAGGCCCAACTTAATCCTGGAGGATGCGGCAGAGTGGCAGCATAAAACGAGGCCACCTCGGAGAAGGGCAGCCCTGTCCTGCCAGGGCCGCGGCGCGCGAAGCGCGACCATCTTCGTGCCTCGCGCACCACGTGGGTGACCCACGGATCGGGGACGCGACGCGTGACTGAGCAGCATCACGACGCCAGAGGTCTGCGACACTGCCCCTGCAAACCCCCCTGGTCGGGACAGCGCGGGCCGTAGTCGTTTTGCCATCGTCGTCGCCGTCGTCCTCGGGCGTTGTCGTCGTCGTCGTCGGCCGTCGTCGGCGTCGGCGTTGTCGTCGTCGTCGCCGTCGACATCGGCGTCACCGTCGGTCATCGCCGTCGTCGGTCGTCGTGTCAAGTCGTCGTCGCCAGTCGTCGTCAAGATCGTCGTCGCCATCGTCGTCGGCGATGGTCGTCGTTGCTCCACGCCGTTGTTGTCGCCGGTCGTCGTCCCTCCAGGTCGGTGCACGTCGACGTCGTCGTCCTCGTTGGTCGTCGTCGTCGTCGTCGTCGTCGTCGTCGTCGTCGTCATTGGCCGTCGCTGGCCGTGCCGGCCCTGCCAACCCCCCTGCTCCTGGGTGGCGGGGTCGAGCTCGGACGGACCGGACGGCCTGCTCTTGTTCCCGGTGGAGCTGTTGCGGTCGGTGCCTCGCCCCCCCCCCCCCCCCGCGAGCAGGCGACGGACGACAAGTGGGGCCCACAGGAAGAGGAGGAGGAGGAGGAGGAGAAGGATGAGGAAGAGGCCGCTGTGGCAGCATCCGTGGAGGATGCTCATGTCGCGGCGCGCAGGCCGCGCGCGCGCGACGCGGCCACGAACGGACGGTCGACGTTCTGCTGGTGCCCACGATGCTACCGGGGAGCCACCGTGGGCGACGAGGTGAGCTGAGGGGAGCAGCAGGCAGCAGCAGCAGCAGCAGCAGGACAAGGGTGGGAGGAGGAGGGGTGGAGGAGGAGGAGGAGGAGGAGGAGGAGGAGGAGGAGGAGGAGGTAAGATAAGATAAGACCGATCGCGAAGCGAGTTCAATAAATTAGGAGGATCTGGCCGCCTTCTCAGCTCTGCTGAGAACTTTGGGCATGAGACCTCTTGAAAGACGGTCGAGATATTCTCGCCGTGCTTTGGTAAGTGGGGCTCTTGGGGGGGCCTTACACTCATCAGCGAAACCTCGGAGCTGCTGCTGATGGTAGCTCCCACAAGCCGCACAATACCATATGGACAGGGGTTCATGATAAAGAATTTGGTGAGAGCTCTGGACCCACCCCCCAGCGAGATGCAGACGCTGCCCCCGAGGAACCCTCATAGTCCCCGTTGGCTGAAGCTCAGGTTGGAAACATGCTGACTCAAGAAACTCCTTCTTCCCAGCCACAGTCGTGGATCCCCTATAGACAAGACACCTTTTTCCACACTCCGAGATCCTGTGTGCCGTGCAAAAAAAGGGCCACCGTGGCTGGGGCAGGAGGTGAGACCCTGGGGGGCTTGCGGGGCCGTCGGGGAGCCTTCTTTTCCTTTTCAAGGGCGGTGGTTCCGAGCGAAGCTCTGAGCAACCGCTGGCGAACGAGGGCAACTTCATTCCCTGTCTGCAACACTCGAGCACGCTGATCCTGCGGGACCCTCGCACGCAGTGCCGCCTCTCCTCCCAGGTGGTCGACGGAGACGTTGCCAGCGATGAGAGGCCCCGACAGCTGCCGAGAAATTACCTCCCCACCTGAAGCATGATACGGGACTTTGATGACAGCGATGTGATACGGCTCCCGTCTTTGCTGTTCGAGGTTCTGCCCAACTTCACGCCGCAGATCTGAGTTCGCGCCTTGTGGTGAGACGTACAGTCGCTCCCACCATCCTCGGCGCACCTCTTCGTTGTCCGTGGCAAATGTCATGATATCCTGCCGACCACCGAACTCCCAGGAGGAATGCCAGCAGTTCGCCCCGAGGGACGGTTTGCCTCACTCCTGGCAGTGGTCCAAAAACGAAGCGAGAATCTGGTCCAGGGAGCTCGCCGACTGCCGATACTGCTAACCCTACCCGACGAAGTCGAGGATCATGTGTGACGCTGCCGCCCGAAGCGTCACCGTGGATCACACTGGGTGTGGACTCGTCGCCCTCGCCGGAAAGCTCTAATCCAAATCGTCGTTGTGACTGACTGTCCAGATCTCCTCTTGCGTGGGCGGGTCCACCGCCGTGAGATGAGAGGGTATGAGCCCTAGATGCCAATAACATTCCATACTGTCACCTTGGGTCAGCGCTTTGTGGCATAACTCCTGGGACAGGTCAAAGGCTGCCGACCCTTGGTTGCATCGGCAAGCCCAGAAACGATGCTTGGGTGTCTCTGGGCCCTCCTCGCAGCGTGCACACTGCGACGGAATAGCATACCATGCATCGGCCTTGCGAGGCGCCGTCCATGCCCCGCCGGCCGTGATCGTAAGTAACAGATGTGCCAACCTGCGCCCGATCTTGGGGATCTGCTCAAGCTGGAACAACTGCTTCCTGAGGCTGAAGTTGTCGACTCCTGCCTCCATGCCGCCTCCGCAGAATGTTGAAACTGCCGCCTGTTGCCGCTGCTTCTGTTGAATAGACCTGGTGAATGCATCAAAGAGTTCGACGGCCTGATCCTGAGCTTGGAAATCGGAGCCTGCGAAGTTCCACCCGTCCTGGTGGCCCTCTGCATCAGCGGCCCGGCACCGCAGCGACGGCTCAGGGATGTCCCAGCCTGCGTCGAGGAGGTAGTGAATCACCGCCGTGAGCGGATCACGAATATGCCTCGCACGATGGCGAGGTTCACACTGCTGGAAGAAAGAGACTGTGGCACCCAGACCTTCGAGGTCGGAGACCGAACCCGCGGAACTTCCAACCAAATTCGCAGCCATTCGGCTCAGCATTGGCGGGGCAAAGCATACCCAGGATCGGCTCCTGGGGCTCGACTGTCTAGCAAGGTGGTAAGGCACCGACCTCGCCTATGCCCTCCTGTGACGGCGCCTGGCCGCCGACGCAGGTGGGTCAGTGACGTCGCAGGGAGTCCATGTACTTGATGTCCGTTGCGTGCTCCCGCCTGAGGTCCAGCAAGTTCCACCTCCTGCAGAACTCTGATCCTCTTGGAGGCAAAAGCATACCCACAAACTTTGTTGTGCTGCTTGAGAGTCGTGACAAACCTTCTCTGACGTGTAGCTCTCCCACGTCTCTTCCCACTGGCTAAATGTACCGCACGGTAGGAGACCTGAGGAGCCGCGATGATTGATCTGCCACGAGCTTTCAACCTTCTCTTGATACCACGAGCGCCCCTCATGTCTGAACAAGTGATGGTGCTTTTTCGTCGCAAGCCTGAGAGAGTGCAGATCCTCGTGCAAGTAATACTTTCCACTAAATCGTTGCAGGCCGAAAACCTGGACCCCACGGCTCTCTGTGAAAGGTCGTCAATCCAGAGTCGCTCCGACAGCCGTGGGTGGCACGCTGTGAGGCATGCCATCACCATGTTGGCGGCCACTTTGGCGAACCTCGTACCGCTCCTGAGTCCTTGGATAATACTTCTCGCGCTATGAAACGGACAAGATACTGCGTCGCTTTGGTCCAAAAGACGAGGTCCTGTACAAGTTTTGGGGCCCGATGCCTAGCACAGCAGGAGGATAACTGTTTCTGAGGGCTCCGTCCACAAGCTCCGACCACTTCATTTCATCGTAAGCAGATCGTATGTCTACTAACGCGTGTCCGTGAGAAGCCCTCATCTTGGCGAAAAGCTCCTCGTCGATCGAGCGCCCGAAGGTAGGCCTCGCGCAAGGCAGAATTGACTGCGGTGGCGGCCCCCCAGTCGGGCTGCCCAGCACTGGCCCATTCGCGAATGAGGGGTTCCCGTGATAGGGGCCAGATCCTGCATGTCATGCATATGAGTCCGATCGCGCGATTGCCAGAGCTTTTCTTGGGTAAAAGACGCCCTAGCACTGGCAAGAGTTGCCAGGGCCATGCCTGGCATTGTTCACACATGATATAGATGACTGCCAATTCGTCAAGCGCCTGCCGAGGTAACCTTTAGAGGTCGATCGGTGAGAGCCGATCGACCCCTTAACCAGCCCGAAGTCGCATCCGTCGGACTGCTGCACGAATATCATCTGCTGTGAGGGGTGTCAAGGGCTCTGATGCTGCATGCCATCGAATACGTTCAAAGAGCTCTCGGACCTCAGGCACTGTCTGCTTGACGCGGGACGTCCACAGGGTATGCCAATGAACTGCTTTGTGGTCGACCACGTCCTTGGGATGGAAGATTGCGTCCTGGTCCGAGCTGGCCGACGCTGGGAACTCAACATCGGCGAGAGGAGACTCTTTAGTAGCTCGGAAGATGGCGCCAGTGTGCTCCTGTTTCCCAATCCATTCCTTGAATTCGGCCAAAGAGGCCGACACTGCATGACTACGAGCCCGTTGGGCAACTCGTTTAGCTCCAGCTGCGTAGATGTCCAGCTGCTGGTAAGTGATGTCCCTGAGCTCGAGCAAAACTGTGAGCCATGAGGCCCATGTGGTGGCATCTTGTGATCTGCCCACGGAGTTGCACGCGCAACCTGGCGGCTGCCCTGCCAACTTGGCACCTGCCACGACGAGAGCTTCGGACTGACTGCGCCCGTTCGCCCGCCGCTTGTGCTGAGCCAGCTTGTGCAGCACCACCTGTACTCGTCCCCACCAATTGGCCGCAACGCCCTGCAGCGCCATATCTCGATAGTGCTCACTCTGACGTACCCGATGAGTGACGAACCTGGGACCCTGAACTCGAGTCGGCTTGTCCGACGGCCCGAGGTCATGGTGGGCACGGTACGCGTGCTCCACGCTGCTGATCCATGCCGCGTATGCACTGCTGACGTGGAGGATGTGAGAGCCTCCAACTTTGAATGCGAGGGATGCCCTCACAGGCTCCCAGACCTGAGATAGAACTTGTGCCTGAAACCCTGCCTGAGCTCGAGCCAAGTTCCACAGATCGGAGGGGAGAGCGAAAGCAGGAGCACCCGCAGGAGCGGTGGAGTTGGATGGGGGAGGGACCTCGTTAAACTGGGGGGCTCTCTCGCTGGGGGGGTCCTTGGGGAAGAGGAGGAGGGGGAGGAGGGGGAAGAGGGGGAGGAGGGGAAGGAGGAGGAGGAGGAGGAGGAGGAAGAGGAGGAGGAGGAGGAGGAGGAGCCATGTCGGCTCACGTCATTCGATGCGAAGACAGCCCACAAGCCTCGATCCTCCTCTGGAGCCTCAGGCCCTGAGCTCATTTTTTTCGGCGGCACAGAATGAAGCAGCGTGATGGGCGCCTGAGATAGGGCTCGAAATTCGTGGAACACGCGGCGAAACCCGAAGCCCTCCCCTGCCTCCAATCGATTCCGGAGAATCGATGGTCGGTGGGGGCACGGCTCGGATGTGGCCATCTATGTTTTCATTCTGGGCGCTTTTCTGGCCCCTGGGGCCCATCACCGGGGCCGGGGACCATCAGAAATGCACCTAGGACGAGAGATCACTCCCAGAGAAGAGGCCGTGACCCCGGGCGGCCGCGCATTGGGAACATCGTATCCTCGGATGTCTGGGTTCTGCAAGGGCAGGGGGGGCTTCATCGCGAGGGCGGCACGTGGACCCTCTCTGGAGGGCCTGGGTTTTTAGAAGGAGGCTTCCTACAGTCAACCAGTATAGTAAGGATGCGCGATAAGGATGCACGGGCCTTGGAAGGCCACGTCGAAGCTTTTCGAGCGGGGCGTGGCCAACGAAAGTGGCCAAGGATGGGCCGAGGAGGCAAGGATGCAAGGGTACCCTTGGGACGGTGGCCCATCCTTACGATTCGGCTTGACGGTAGAAGCTGGGAGGGCTTCCACGAATGTCTTTCAGAACCCCCGGCACCTCAGAATGCCGTCCCCCTTTGCGGCCCCCGAATCGTGCGCGCCGCCAACCTTGAACCACCAAGACATCCAGGGAGGAGAGGTGAGAGGATTCGGGCGGCGAGAAAAGTACAGTACAGAAGCCACACGCCAGTCTTTGGCGCGGGCTTTGGCGAGCCCTCGAGGTCTGCGAAGATGAAAACGGCGACGCATCACGACTGTGACGCAGAGCAACGGAGCGCAGCACGACTGTAATGCACAATAACGAAGCATGCAGCTATATTTAGGTCGGGCATGTCCTCCTAAAGGCGGGCTTTTGAAGAGACATAACACACAATCAAAGCACAACAAATGGCCAGAAGAGCTCGACAAATGGTCCTCATAATATTTTGTCTTAAACATTCCCCCTCTAGAGGGACATGCCCGACTTCAAGATATGCTCACCGATCTTGGCCAGGCGCACCCCGGCCCCACGAGCGGTGCCTTCGCTTCCCTGGCCAGGTCACGAGGGGCGTGTGCACCCCATCCCAGGCCTGTGATGCGCCTTTCCAGGCTCGATGCGTGTGGACAGAGGGCCCCTCTCCATCAGCAGAACACTCTGTCGGAGAGCTTACAAGGCCGCACCCCCTCCCCTCCCTCGGGGACGTGCAAGAGGGGAGGGGCGCCCGAGAGGCCCGGCTGGAAGGCCGCCAAAAGGCCCGAGCGCACCGAGTCGCTGCTACCGCTTCGCTTTCGGCCATCTGGGAGGTCCCCCTGGACCCTTAGACGTAAGTCGGGCGTGTCCCCCTACAGGGGGAGTTTTGGGCGAAAAGAAAAAACACTAAAAAACTGCACCACAAATACTCAAACATAGGACAAAAAAAAAGTCGTCCCCAGACTATTTCTTTACTGTTCTTGAATTTCCCCCCTGTAGAGGGACACGCCCGACTGAACCTCAGGCAAGGCCGCCCACCCCGGCCTGCGGCAGCCGCGGCCCAAGAACAGCCCACGCCCTCGAACAAACAAAACAAACAAAACGAAGCCACGACCCGGCGGCGAGCCCACAGCGGGGGGCGGCGGCGGCGCCTCTCAGGGAGCGGCGGGGCCTCCCAGGAGCCCTCTGGCCTTCCGAGAAGCCGCCCGCGGCTTCGGAGAGGGCCTGCAGAGCTTCTCAGAAGGCGCGAGGCCTTCCGGGGCGAGTTTTTTTCTGAGCCCCCTGAGGAGGCCCGCCCCCGCTCACTGCCCCCCAGGCGCGAGGCCCTCCGAGCTCCTGGGGCGCCCCGCCGCCTTCTGAGAGGGCGCATCCCCTCCCACTGTCCTCCCTGGGCTCGCCGCCGAAAGACAGCGGCGCTTCACCATGTTCGGCCTCCGGGGGCCGTTCTCGGGCTCCGAGAGCCGCCATGCAAGAGCAATGCAGGACGAGCAACTGAACTCCAGGGTAGGGGTCGATCGTTCCAGGGACCACAGTCTGGCGGAGGGGCAACGCCGGAGGTCTATGAGGACCCCGTGAACCCGGACACGCTCGACCCAGACACCCAACATCCCTCGCATCATTTGTTTCCAGACGCTGGCAAGAACAAACTACTACACTGCAACATTTCCAGAATAAACCCAGACACAGGCCCTAGAAGCCTACAATACCCCCCCACATCCGGAAACAAACCCGAATCCTGCAGTGTAGCAAGGGTGTCGTTTCCTTGGTTGTCCGTGTCCTGGTTTATCTGTGTCCTGTGTCCTGGTCTCCGGGGGCTTGAGTCTGGGCATCGGAACCCACACTGGTCCAACCGCTCGAACCTCTCCGAGAAGATTGGTCCTTCCAAACCCCGTGTGTTCCTAGTTTCGGTCTTCAGATGCCATGAGAAAACGACCCAATATTAAACAACTTGCCTCGGGGAAGCGGTCGAGAGTTCATGGGACCGCGGATGGGACGAATCACAGCGTCAGAGGTCTGCGCATCAGACCATGAACCGATCCCATCGTCCACCCTTTCCCTACAATCAAAGTTTTGCCTTAAGAGACCTCGGGATGGGAACCGCCGACGTCGTTGAAACCGACGACAACGATGTCCACCAACGCCGACGAAATGAAGCCGGGCAAGGGCTGCTAAATCCGTGGCTGCTAAAATCGACCTCCAGGAAATCGTCTTCGTCCTTCCGGAACGAAGCCCGTTGACTATTCCGCGTGCCGCGCCTCATTCTGGGGAATTGTTTTTTCCTTCCGGGAGGGCCGTTTTAGCAGCCACGGTTTTTTAGCAGCCCTCGCCCAGCTTTCGAGACGAGGACGACGACGTCGTCGTGGCCGTCGATGTGGACGACCTCGGCGGAGATGTCTGCGGCGTGCGCAAAAGGTGTGGTGCGTTCCTCGACGTCCAGCGCTCGGATTGTTGTCGATGCCTGGACCCGTGGAGGTCTGGGCAGCTTCCCTTAGGAGTAGAGGGCACACACCATCCCCACAGTAAGCACCCCGACAAGCGACGCCGCTTAGGAAACGCACCCAAGGCAGGAATCGAACGGGGCAGGGCTGTCCAGTCAAGACCAGGGCTGTTTCGTAAACGCCACTTGAGCGACGATCAAAACCAGGTCTTATGCGCTATGACACGGCGACCTGGGCCCGCCGAGGGCCCCCGAAGACCGAACGTGGCCCAAAATCGGTGGATTAGATTTTTGTTGGAGCCTCGGATCTCTGGGTTCGGCGCGGCAGCGGTCACCTCGGGGGCGTCCCAGAGGGGGGCGGTCTCGAGGAAGGGGCGCAAATCATGGCCGGCGGCATGTGCGCGGCCCAGGGGCGGGCCAGGAGCGCATTGAAATAGGACGAGGCGCCATGGAATCTGGGGAGATCTCATGGTCCCCGCCATGATCTCCAACCCCCCCTGGTCATCACTTCCCCCCTTGTTGAGCAGGGACCGGCCGTCCCGGGAATCTTATAGGCCTACGACGACATGCTTCTAGAACCCCAGAAACCTCTCTAAGAACCAAAACAATGCTCTTAGAGCATAAGCCCGATGTTGCTAAAACAAGCCAGCCCCAGCCAGACACGTTCCGAGAACACCCCGTGCAGACCATAAGAGGTTCTTAGCACATGCCTGGCTGGGCCTATAAGAGGCAAGCCAGGACGCCTCGCCGCTGCTCCCCCCCTTGTCCGCCCCCAAGGGCTCTGCGTGCCGCCGAACCGCCAGCAGCGGTGACGTCGTCGACGGCTGCGACGGCGATCTCTCCCCGGGCCCGCCTCCGGCGCCGGCGTCGGCCACGGCCAGCGTGTCGCGCTGGCCGTGGCCGACCATGTGGCCAGGGCCGCCCGGCGGCCTCTGAGGGTCGTCGTCGCGGTCGTCGTCCCCCTCGCTGCGAGCCGTCCTCCCCCGTGCTCCTGGCTCGCCTGCCCCCTGCCCCTGCTCCTTGCTCTCCTCCCCCTCCCTCCCTCCCTCCCTCTCTGCCCCCTCCCTGCTCCTCCGCTTTCTTGCCGTGCTCGTCGTCGTCGTGTCGTTGTCGATCCTACTTCCTCCTTCTCCTCCTCCTCGTCCTCCTCCCCCCTTCTCCTCCTCCCCCTCCAGATCCACGGTCCTCCCCCGCCTCCGCATCCCTCCTCCCACCTCCTCTTTCCTCTCCTCCCGACCCTCTTCGATGCTCGATCCTCCGTCCACATCTTCTCATGCCCTCCTCCTCCTCCTCCTACTCATCCTCCTCCACCCACTACTACTTATCATTATTATTATTCGAGCTTCGCGCTGAAGACACTGCTGATATGGATGACTGAAGTCCTCGCCTCCTCCTCCTCCTCGATCCCCCCTCCTCGACCTCCCTCCTTCGAGTTTCCATTATTCCCTCATCCTCCTTCTCGATTATACACCTCCCTCCTCGTCCTCCTCCTCCTCCTCCTCGTCATCCTCCTCCTTCTCTCTCGATGTTGTATTCTGTATTTTGCCAACACGTGGACCCCCCGACGTTAAGACCACTTCCTCAGGAGTTTGTTTTGTTCCGAGCCGTATTCAAGCGGTCCCGAGGTCTGGAAGACATGAACTGCTAACAAATTTCCTGGCGTGATGTTTCACAACGCGAGGAGGTCCGGGTCGTGCTCCTTGATCCGACTTCCTCCGCCTCGATCCTCCTCTCTCTAGAAGAACAACACTTGGCATACACATCATCCGTCGGAGGTCCGCGCGGAGGTTGTGGATCTTCGCTGAACCCCCATCCCAGGCGTGCTGCTTCGACACTCTATCCCCCTCCCTCCCTTAAAGGGCATGCTCTCGAGAAGCGGCATTCTCTCGAGAAGGCACACAACTCGTAGCGTGAGCGTGAACTTCCGGAAGTCCCCGCGGATTTCTTGGATCGGCGCTGGTCCACCCCTCCTTGGCGCGCTGATTCGACACTCTCAAGACAACGGCTCTCCCGGCCAGCCCACACTCGCTCAACATCGGTCCCTGGGCCGGGTCCGTGGCCTGGTGTCCGAGGCGACCGCAGCCGTGGCAGCCTCCAGGAGCCCACGAAAACAACAGAAAAACACAGAGGAGGGCCGCCGCTGTCGTGACTGGCCCTCCTTCGATCCCTTCCCTATCGATCCTCCCCCCCTCCCTCCTCGAGCCTCCTCGACCCCATTCTCTCCCTCCCTCCTCGATCCTCCTCCGATCCTCCTCGGTCCTACTGTCTCCCTCTCCGGTCCTCCTTCCTCCCTCCTCGGTACTCCTCGCGGCTCAGGACGGGGAGCGGGGAGAGGCACAGCGACGGCGCCGAGGATCGAGCAGGACGATGATCGAGAAGGATGGAAGATCGAAGAGCATTGTCGCGAAGAAGGAAAGCCTCAGGGCAGGGAGGAAGAACGCGGCCAGCTCGGACCTTCAGCTCGCAGGCGGATGGCACAAACAACCTCTAAACGGGGCGAAAGGCACACCCACTCCGCTATCATCGCCTGTCGCTGACCCGCAAAGCCACCACAGCCTCAACCTGGTAAGTCCTGTCGAGGAGGATGAGGGTGAAGGAACCCCTCCCTCCTCGGTCTCCTCGCGCCTCGGCGAAGGCGACGTCGCCGAGGAACGAGGATCGATGAGGAGTAGGATTGAGGACCGCGGAGTGAGGACTGAGGGCCGAGGCGGGCAGGGAGCCCGGCGACGTCGCCGAGAATCAGTGAGGAGGGGAAGGAGGATCGAGAAGGATCGGGGATGAACATCGAGGAGGGTGGTGGAGGAGGATGCTCGAGCAGAGTGGAAGGGGAAACTTGAGGAGGCTGGGGGGTGAAGGAGCCCCTCCGTCCTCGATCCTTCCTTCCCCTCCCCCCGCCGGAGGCCCGGCCTGCTGGCCGCTCCCCCCTCCAGGGGCGTCGGGGAGGGCACCGCCGGCAGGTCCACTGTCTCCACGGGGTCCTCGCCGGCCGCCGCCGCCGCACGGCCGACGCCGCCACCGCCGACGCCGCAGTCGTCGATCGATCGAGGACGGAAGCCGGAGTATAGGAATAGGAATAGGAATAGGAACCAATGGCGATGCCAATCCCGAGACTTGGGCTACCCACGGCCTCGCTGGGCCTTTTCGGCCTTGCAGAGGACCTTGGGGGGGAGCCCTTCGTGAATTCTCCTGAGATGCACTCGTCCTGTGGCTCCGAGGGAGAGGCGGAGGAGGAACAACGTTTCTTAGGCGCTTCGGAGGCTCTGGAACCTCTTGGCCCTACACGTACGGAGGTCTCCATGGGGACCCGACAAGATACCGATACCGCTACTCCGCGGACCTCTCCTGGGGTGCGCTCTGCGCAGGATTTCGACGCGAATTCAGCGGTGGCGACGAGGGTCTCCCAGGAGGCTCCCCAAAGGGGAAAACGGCAGAAGGGTAGAGGTATGGTAAGGTCGGGCATGTCCTCCTACAGGCGGGTATTGAACCAAACATTGAAGTAGTCAAACAATTGAAACATGGTCAAACATACTTTTAAAACATCGTCCCAATACTATGTTTGATTATTTTGGTGTTCCTCCTGTACAGGGACATGCCCGACTTAGTGGTATGGGTATCCAACTGCACCTGATATTAAAACCCTGGGAATGATGAAGTTCGGGGTCCAGGGGGGTAATACACGTTTTGTCCTGGGGATCGCAGCATAAAAGGACGTCGAGGGTGAGGATGCTGAAGATAATGATGATGCTGAAATTGATGATACCCTTGCCAGCACTCTGCACATCCTAAAGATGCCCCGCGCTCACGAAATCCTAGTAGTAGTAGTAGTAGTAGTAGTAGTAGTCGTAGTCGTAGTCGTAGTAGTGGTAATAGTAGTAGTAGTAGTAGTAGTAGTAGTAGCAGCAGTAGAGGTAGTACTAGTTATAAGAACAATAGCATTAGTTGTCGTAGACGTAATAAGAAAGTAGTAGAAGTAGAAGTAGTAGTAGTATCATCAGTAGAATTAATGATAGTAGATAGTTGACGTAGTAGAAATAATCGTAGAAGTAGTCGTAGTCGTGCCCGTAATAGTTTGAGTGGTAGGCGCAGTAGGCGTAATAGCTGTAGTCGAAGTGGTAGAAGTGGTCGTAGTAGAAGTATAAGTAGTAGTAGTAGTAGTAGTAGTAGTAGTCGTCGTAGTCGTAGTCGTAGTCGTAGTAGTAGTAGTAGTAGTAGTAGTAGTCGTAGTAGTAGTAGTAGTAGTAGTAGTGATGTTATTGGTAGCCGTCGTAGTAGTAGTAGTAGTAGTAGTAGTAGTAGTAGTAGTAGTAGCTAGCAAGTAGTAGTAGTAGTAGTAGTAGTAGTAGTAGTAGTAGTAGTAGTAGTAGTAGTGGTAGTAGTAGTAGTAGTAGTAGTAGTAATACTAGTCGTAGTAGCTAGTCGTAATGTTATTATGATTCTTAGTAGTAGCAGTAGTAGTAGTAGTAGTAGTACTAGTAGTCGTAGTAGTAGTAGTAGTAGTAGTAGTAGTAGTAGTAGTAGTGGTAACAGTAGTAGTCGTAGTAAACGTAGTAGTAGTAGTAGTAGTAGTAGTAGTAGTAGTAGTAGACGTAGTAGCAGTAGAAGTAGTCGGCGTAGAAGTAGTGGTGGTAGTAAAAATTATATGAGAAATAATAGCAATAGTAGTGGTGAGTAGTAGTAGGTAGTGGTAGTGGTAGTGGTAGTGGTAGTGGTAGTAGTAGTAGTAGTAGTAGTAGTAGTAGTAGCAGTAGTAGTAGTAGTAGTAGTAGTAGTAGTAGTAGTAGTAGTAGTAGTCGTAGTAGTAGTAGTAGTAGTAGTAGTAGTAGCAGTAGTAGTAATAGTAGTAGTTGTATAGTAGTAGTGATAGTAGTAGTATCAGTAGTAGTAGTAGTAGTAGAATTAATGGTCGTAGTCGTAGTAGTAGTAATCGTGGTAGTCGTGATAGTGGTAGTAGTGATAGCAGTAGTAGTAGTAGCGGTCGCAGTAGTCGTAGTAGTAGTAGTACTGGTAGTAGTAGTAGTGGTCTAGTAGTAGAAATAGTCGTAGCAGTAGCAGTAGTAGTCGTAGTAGTAGAAGTAGTCGTAGTAGTAGAAGTAGTCGTAGTAGTAGTAGTAGTAGTAGTAGTAGCAGTAGTAGTAGTAGTAGTATGGGTAGAAGTTGGTAGTAGCAGTAGAAGTAGTAGTCGTCGTCGTCGTCGTCGTCGTGTTCGTCGTCGTCGTCGCCGTAGTAGTAACAATAGTAGTAGTACTAATAATAGTAGTGGTCGTGGTAGTAGTAGTAGTAGTAAAGACAGTCGTCGTCGTAGTAGCAGTAGTAGTAGTAGTAGAAAGAGTGGTCGTAGTCGTAGTAGTAGTAATCGTGGTAGTCGTAATAGTCGTAGTAGTGATAGTAGTAGTGGTAGTAGTAGTAGTAGTAGTAGTAGTCGTCGTAGTAGTCGTAGTAGTATAAGTAGTCGTACTGGTAGTAGTAGTAGTAGTAGTAGTAGTAGTAGTAGTAGTAGTAGTAGTAGTAGTCGTAGTAGTAGAAGTAGTCGTAGTAGTAGTAGTAGTAGTAGTAGTAGTAGTAGTAGTCGTAGTAGTAGAAGTAGTCGTAGTAGTATAACTAGTCGTAGTAGTCGTAGTAGTAGTAGTAGTAACAGCAGTAGTAGTAGTAGTAGTAGCAGCAGCAGTAGTAGTAGTAGTAGTAGTAGTAGAGTAGTAGTAGTAATAGTAGTAGTAGTAGTAGTAGTAGGAGTAGTAGTAGTAGTAGTAGTAGTAGTAGTAGTAGTAGTCGTAGTAGTATAGTAGTAGTAGCAGCAGCAGCAGCAGCAAGCAGTAGTAGTAGTAGTAGTAGTAGTAGTAGTAGTAGTAGTAGTAGTAGTAGTAGTAGTAGTAGTAGTAGTAGTAGTAGTATGGGTAGAAGTAGTAGTAGTAGCAGTAGTAGTAGTAGTAGTAGTAGTAAGTAGTAGTAGTAGTAGTAGTAGTAGTAGTCGTAGTAGTAGTAGTAGTAGTAGTAGTAGTAGTAGTAGTAGTAGTAGTCGTAGTAGTAGTAGTAGTAGTAGTAGTAGTAGTAGTAGTAGTAGTAGTAGTTGCAGTCGTCGTCGTAGGAGTAGGAGTAGTAGTAGTAGTAGTAGTAGTAGTAGTAGTAGTAGTAGTAGTAGTAGTAGTGGTGGTCGCAATAATAGTGATCGCATTCGTAACTGCAGTAGTAGTCTGAATATTCAGGGTCGTCGTAGTAGACGTAGTAGTAAAGGTCATAAGGAATATTGTATAGCCCTGCCACACGTGGGATGATGATGTTGATCGTCAACAAAGAAGATCGCAACTTCGACTCGCAATTTTCCCCCGTGGTAATACAGTTCGGCCTTGCCGCCCCTCACCTCCAATCAAATCTGCTCTGGCTGGGGGTAATAGACTCTCAGGGGTTAAGGGGTGGATGCTTTATCATCTAGGGCATGGGGTTACCTTTTCCTCCTCCGACTCCAGGCGCGACCCCAGGGGACCTCGCATTCCAGATGCCTCTGGAGGCCTCCGAAGGTCGTCGGAGTCCGTCGTCGGCCGTCGTCACCGTCGAAGTCGACGCCGCCGCCGTCTTCGTCGAGGTTTGAACATACTTGGGTGCTTCGTCCCTCCTCTGAGCTCCTCGCGCCGTGAGAACACAGCGGATGGTTTTTGCTAAAACTTTCGGCCAGAAGGTGGGCCCTCACAGGGCGCCGGGACTGCCCAGAAACGACCCAGGATGAAACACCGATCCAAGGACGTGGGCTAAACCTCCGAGCAACTACGTTGTGGCGGGCACGCAATGGCATGAACATGAAAAACTAGGATGTCCGCCCATGTTTCTCGGATCGGCGGTGAACCCGCCCTCTGGCGCGCGTAGCGCCCCAGTGGCGGTGCCAGAGGCGCCGCCAGGGGGCCCCAGCGCCGATCCGAGAAACCCGCGCAGATGTCATAATTAGAATGTACATGTCATTGTTGGTTCCCCAATGCGGCCCTGTTTCGAAGGGCCCTTGGACACACACACACACACACACACACACACACACATATATATATATATATATATATATATATATATATACATATATATATATAAATATATATTATCCAGGCGAAGGACCCAAGAGCATCGCAATCGGTGGCGCTCCCTATGGGGCCACGAACCGCATGAGGGGTGTGCCGAAATGTGGCGGGGTACACGACGCAAAGAAATACGATAGATCCGATTACGAGAGAAAGAACGCGGGTGAGTCAGAGCGCGAGGGAATCTGAGTATGAATGGGTATGCGCGCGAGTGAATATATTTGCATGAATGCGATCATGGAACCGCCTAGTGTAAGTGTCGAGCATGCCTGTCCGAACACACGTGACACTGGGCGTGGCCGCCGCAGGCAGCTTCCGCGGGAACCCCGACGGCAGCGTCCGCACGTCGCGACGCCCATGTCGGCACGCCTCTTGCGAGGATCGCGCCCGCTTTCGGCTCTTCTTTTCCTTCCTCTTTGCCCGCGCACTCCAAAATCCAAGGCTGCGGGCGCAGCGCAGCGCGGAGTCCCCGCGACGCGCGCTGGTCGCCCCGGGCGGGGTCCCAGCGACGCGCGCGGGTCGTCCGCTGCGCGAAGCAGAGAGAGCTGACTAGCTAACTGGCTGGCTGATAGCGGGCAAGTCTCTGACCGCTGGGCAGAGCGACGACGGGCGAACGAGGCGCCGGGCCCCCCCGCAGCACGGAGCTCCCGCGACGCGCGCCGGTCGCCCCGAGGGGGTCCCAGCGACGCGCGCGGGTCGTCCGCGGCGCGAGGCCAAACAATTAGTCGGGCAGTCGAGAGAAGGCCCGGCTCGGGGGAGACGCTCCTCAGGTCAGGCCTCGCGGATGAACTCGGTGAAGCCGAGCTCCCTGGCGAGGGCCGTCGCTTCCCTCCTGCACCGCTTCGTGCGCGCCGCAAACTGCTCCAGCTGCTTCCGCAAGCCCTGCGGCGGCCCTGCCAGGAAGAACTCGATGCGCGGCG